GTAAAATGGAACCGGTGAAGGTTACCTTTTACGATATCTTGTCGAATTATACTACGCCACAAAAGCCCGTCACAACGAGGGTGACGAGATTCAAGTCACCTTCGACCTGCCAAATTTGACAGGACGAGCAAAGACTTGGGCCTTAGGGCTCAAGCTTCACGACTTTAACGTGTTTGAGTCGTTGGAGATCTTCAGTCTCGGCTTAAAGAGACGTTTGAGCCGCCGAGAGCCGAGTTCATATTACGCTCTGCACTCCTGAGGCTCAAGCAAGGTAAGAGTGATGTGCATGACTACGCACAACATCTACGCTACCTTGCGAGTAGCGTCACGGAGAACTCTTTTAATGAGCACACGCTCATCAACGTGTTCATCTACGGTCTTGTAGATGGACCGGTATAGACCTACATATTCCAAGAGGACTTCCATACGCTGGAAAAGGCGATAGCGTATGCGGAACAAGAAGACATAAGCCCAAGACAGTCTCAGGTTAACTCGTCAAGCTATCGTCCGACGAGACTACAGGAAACAGGAGGTCCCGAACCAATGGACCTCTGTTACATCGAGAGCGAGAACTCTTGCTCTCAAAGTCAAAAGCGATCGTCAAGATGCCATCGCTGTCAAAGGATCAGACACTACGCTCATGAGTGTAGTGTCCCAAGCACCGCAACACGTTCAAAGGAAAAACGTGATGACCACCGTTTGGCAAGATAAAGGTCCGAGGCGTGGGTCCGACCATGTAGCTAAGACGCGACAGCAAGTCGGACCGTAAAAAACGGACAGGGTCAGTAGGTGCAGAGCACCCTACTGATCCAGCAACGTCAAGAGAATTTGCGGACTCTTGACGAAGATCGCTCCCAACACACAGTCTCTGTGTGCTACTGCCCCTAGTGAAGAGGAGTCTCTCATCACTTTGAGGATCGAAGTGAAAAGTGGAATGTTACTTCGCGCCCTAGTTGACTGTGGGGCGTCGAGCAGTTTCATTCGACGCCAGTCGCTAGGGGATAGTATTATCAATTATATTGATCGAGATTTCCCTCCAACGAGGATGACGGTGTGCCTTGCATTAGTCGCATTCGTAACAGTGAACAAATGTGTATTGGGGATCCACTACACGCTAGAAGGAAAGCAGTACGATGATGAGTTTATCGTATTAGATTTGGCTGACAAATTTGATGTCATCCTCGGTCTGCCATGGATAAATATACTAGCTATGAATCAGCTGGCAGCATCGATCCGTGGAGATGCCTGCCGTTTGTTCATCGGATTGCCATCTGATGAACGTCTTGGAGCGTTCACGAGCGTGTGGATGTACTACGAGTGAGTGCGATGGCCTCACTGGTGGTACAATCGTTAGTACGATTGCACAAGATCACAGTGCAGAAGGCCACTGCACTGTGGAACCAGCTTCCGGCACCTGTGTAGAGACACAGGCTGCGCCGAAGGCTCACCACTCGAAGAGATCGAGTGGACTGGAACACGGATGCACACCAAAAAAAGTGCATCCGAGAAGAGAGATCAGTGTTGTTCAGGATGCACAACACATTGAAGCGAGATCGACTATCAGAGAGTCGGTCGCAGAGCAAGCCCAATCGACTAAAAGAAAGTCGATCGAAGAGGACGTTGAATGTGGTAGTTCACCCATATTCAGTACACGTATTGGAAAAAGTTTAAGCGTTCCCGATAGCGATAGCTTTCTAGAGGGTTATGTTGAGGGTGTGGATCCTTAATCAGCTGCGGATGTGTTGCTTTCAGGAAATCACCGAGACATCGAATGTTTTGGTGAATGACGGATCAAGTGTAGGCGCTATTACACTTGATCTGATTATACCTTCGAAGTCAGCTTCGGAGATTATCAAGTTGCCAACGCTAGAATCTTAAAGATTCTTGCGAGATCTGCGTAGTGCCAAGATCAAGAAAATCTGCACATTCGGTCGGCACAAGTGTTTGCTGAGAACGAAAGTCTTATCAGTAGTTCATCTATGGACGATAGTGTCCTCGATGAGAAGACCCGGATTGAGCGATACACGTCTCAATCTTGGGAGTCGTTGAAGACAAATTCTTAAAATAAGGATTTGGTTGAATTCAGGGATGTGTTCCCCGAATCCGTGCCACGTGAGCGGCCTAAGTACAAAATCATCTGGCATGAGATCGAACTGAAACCAGGCTCGAAGTACTGTGTCATGAAGCAGTGGTCACTACCTCGTGAACAGGTCACAGCGATCGACAAATTCTTTGCCAATCGTTTAGCGGCTGATCACATGAGGAAATCAACACCCCCATATAGCTCTCCGACCTTCTGTAAGCGAAAAGCCACAGGAGGGTGGCGGATAGTGCACGCGTTCAACAAATTGAATGCTGCAACGGTACAGGCTCAAACGCCGATCCTAAGAAGGACAACATCTTAGATTGTATGGCAAAAAATACCATCTTTTCGTCCATGGATCTGATGGATGGATCCCATCAGATCCTATCATCAGATCCTCATGCGTGAACGGGAGATCCCGTACACAGCAGTGAGCACCCCCAGTGGTATGCTCTGGGAGTGGCTAGTGATGCCACAGGGGCTAAGTAACGCCCCCGCAACGTTCAACAGATGTGTTACAAATCTATTTCGATCGGTATGGGACTTCGCACCGAGTTACTTCGACGATGTCTTCGTCCATATCCAGGCGGTGGATCTAAAGACGGACGTGGAGGTTTAAATAATCCACGTCCGAAAGGTTCTTACTCTAATGCGAGAACAATAGTTTTCGCGAACCTCAAGAAGTTTATAATTGCATCGAACGATATACCACTTCTTAGCCGCATCGTGGGTGAAAACGGCGTACGCCCTGATCCGGGGAAGATCAAGGCGAGTAGCGACTGGCCTGTGCCAGTCGACGTAAATGGACTTCGAAAGTTCCTTGGCTTGGCGGCGTACTTGTACAAGTACTCGCGCAACTACACCAGGATGACCGTACATCTCTCTTGTCTGTTAAAGAGAAACGAGAGGTGGTCATGGAGTGCTGAGTGTCAGCACTCTTTCGAAGGTGTAAAGAAAAGCATGATACAACCGCCTGTGTTGGCGATTGCAGACCAGGACAGACCATTCCATGTGGTCTGTGACGCCAGCGATTTTGCAATCGGCTGCGCGTTAATGCAGTACGAATCAGACGGTGTTGAGCGCGTCGCCTGTTATCAATCGCTTCGGCTGCAAGCAGATGAGCACAATTATCCTGTTCATGACAAGGAACTCCTTGGCATGGAACATGCACTGGCTAAGTTTCGAGTATATCTCTTAGGAGATAGACCCTTTATCGTCTATACCGACCATGCGTCATTACGCACGGCCGTAAACAGTCCACACCTCTCGTAAAGAATGGCGAGGTGGCTGTCTTTCTTCGCGGAGTACAACTTCTCCGTCGAGTATAAACCAGGACGACTTAATGTCGTCACTGATGCTCTTTCGCGTTGGCCCGATTTCGAGCCGACTGCTCAACAAAACAGTAGGGGTGATCCCACTGTCGCAACACTATCAGTGATGTTTCCGTCGTCGAATCGGCTCGACGAAGTGCGGAAAGAATACGCAGAGGATGATTCTGATCTGCGATTGATGGATTACGTATCCAATTCATGCAGTTAAGCTTTGAAAAGCTTGACATCTAATTACCGCTTTTTAACCGAACGGTATTGGGTCTGTGATGCACTGCTGTACTAAACAGCAGTCAAAGGCTATACAACTCGTGTCGTCGTTTCAGATCTTGATGGTTTGCGACTGCGCATCATGTATGAGTGTTACGATTCCCTAACTAGTGGGCGTCGCGGTAGGTAAAAGAATAATCTCATCGTGAACTGTGACTTTTACTGGCCACGCCAGTATGAGTTTGTGCGGAAATACATTCGTGCTTGCGAAGTTTGTCAACGAATGAAGCCTGGTCCTTCATCCCGCGCGCCCTTGCAGCCTCTACCGATTCCGTAAGAGTGTTGACAGTCCGTATCGATGGACTTCGTCTTTGGGTTCCCAAAGACGCTCACAAGAATACTGGTATTCTTGTGTTCGTTGATCGGTTCAGCAAGATGGTACATCTTGTTGCTGTACCGGAGTCAATCACAGCCCAGGGCTGTATTCGTGTCTTCATCAATATTGTCTTCCGACTTCACGAGTTACCCCGTGAACTCGTTTCCGATAGAAACCCCCGCTTTACGGCGGAGTTCTGGCAATCCGTGTTTCTTTAATTTGAAACACGGTTGAAGATGTCAACTTCTGACCATCCTAAACAAATGGTCAGACGGTACGCGCCAACCATGTCCTCGAAGAGATACTTCGAGGGTACGTCCACTCAATTACGAGCTGGAGTGAGTTCTTGCCGATGGCGAGTTCGCTATCAACAACTCGGTGCATGCTTCAACAACGCGTTCACTGTTCTTCGTGAATGGCCTACGCCATCCACGTTTACCCGCCTTTTAAGAGTGTGAATCTGTATTAAAAGGGGGGGATGGACTCGCTCGAACAAAAACGATCTGGTTCTTGCTCATCACCCGTCTACAATGATGTCGACGTGATGGATGCCGATGTCGATGCAATCGACATCGTCCATGAAGATGAAGACGATGCTGGTATATTCAGAATCGTCAATTACTGCCATAGTGACGACGATGATGCCCTGACTGGTGAAGACAAAGTTTTTCAGTAGTGCACACGAAGCGCACTGCTGTTGACAAGGATAAATCAGCAGAGGAATGTCTGCTGACTGTCGAAGCGGTTGTCCGCTTCGTTCAAGACTCTATTGCAGATGCACTAGACGGACAGAAAAGAAACGCAGACGAACGTGGAAGAGCAAATGTCATTACAGTTGATGGAGGAGATTTAGTTTTACTGTCTACAGTAAATCCACCGAAACAGGCAGTAACAAACGTGGGCATCAGTAAATTACTGCCCAGGTACATCAATCCATTTCGTGTGTTGCGCCAAATGGGCAACGCATACACGATTGAACTGCCTCGTAGGCTGCATTCGCATCCTACGTTTTACGTTGGACGTCTCCTCCCGTACTGTCAGTACGAATTTGTTTCGAGAGGCGAAGTAAACCTCCGCGGTTAAGGGCCGAGACCACCTTCGAGTGGTCTCGGCTCAACGATCCAGTCTGGTCGACTAGCGAAGCGACCTGCTCATGCAGTTGAGCGATGTCCTGACGAGCTGCAGTCAGCTCGTCACGAAGAGAACGAATCGAACGTTCGTACTCAAGTTGCGCGAACGCAAAAGTGGCACGATCGTTTGGACGATCGTGCGCTAAGGAATTGTAATTATCCTTTACGAGGTCATAAGGCTCGTAACTCCGAGTCACTTCATGAGCCAGGTCATCGTGTATCTGTTCCGTTACACAACTTAGCTCCTGAACATCAAGCTGATCCGACCCTCGATCCGGATCAGGTGTTCCCACCGCCATCACATCCTTTGGTGGACTCAAGCGGTAGTCAACGATTCCTAGTGAAGCGTATTTTGAACCACCGAGACGTGAATAGCGTCCACACGAGCTACCTCGTCCGCTGGCGTGGCTATCGACCATCCTGGGACATCTGGGAGCCTCGTGCCCAGCTGATTGTTGATGTCCTTGGTCTCGTCATGCAGTACGACGAAACCCACCCGCTGCGTTTGAAGAAGGCCGTCGGGAAAAAGACCTCCTCGAACGCGAATACAAGGATTTAGAAGTGTCACCCCTTCGGCCATCTCAGAATAGATGCGCGCCCTCCAGTAGGAAACATTAGAGAGGTAGGCCTCCCTAGTAACACTATTCGAGTTTTCCAGGAAACTTGGACACGAATCACCTCACGATAGACAGGTTAACCATCCTCTCTTGACATTCAGTCAAACTTTTATCGTACACCGACTGGGTTACGCTTATCAAACCTGATGCGAGCTGCATCAAGATTTCCGAGCCAGGCTTCACGGCCAATGCACTCGATGTTATGGATGAAGGCATTCCATCCTCGCACCAAGGCTTTACCGTCTCGACCTCGGTTGCCATTGTAACACCGATGTTTGAAACATGCATCAGTGAAGAAATCTTCCTCAGCACGGATGGTTTCCGTGCTAGAATCAGGCAAGCAAATCTTCCTACAGTCATACAACGGGATTCGATCCCTTCAGTGGTCATGCCGGCCACTCGATCTAACTATACAAATGACGGCATCCAAGGCGACTCCACATGAGGAGCATGGCGCAGGACATTTCGGTCCCTGGCCTCTTGAGTTGTGTCAGCACGAGAACTGACACCGATGGCAGCTCGATCTCTCGAGTTTCTTCTCACGTGGTGATGCATAGGATTATTACCACCATGACCAGGCGTCCCATCGTCGGATGGACTTGCGTGAGGCGAAAGTACGTCAGAAGAATCGCTCGGTCCGAAGATCTCGGACATGATGCCGCCACGTTCCCCAGAGCCAGTCAACCTGGATCTTGCAGTGTCCTCCCAGGATGGTCCGGAGTCGTGAGGTTTCGCCTTCGAGTCGTATACATCATCCGACTCGCCAGAATAGATGAGCTCTATTTCAGGCTCATTAACATTGCGAGTTACAGCACCCGCTGCAGACGCAGCGAATGTACCTATCGCTCGTGTTAACTCACCACGTGTACTAGCCACAACAATCACCGCCTGTTGCTGAATCGCAACAACAGTCACCGCCTCTTGCTGAATCGCAACAGCAGGCGAAGGATTACCTGCTGCTGAAGCAAGAAAAAACTCTCTTCGGCTGCGCGCATGCGTGCAACCGCCTTTCTGGCTGCTTCGGCAGCACATCGCATGGACTTTGATATCATGCGATGAATTGGCAAGTGAGTTGGAATTTGACCAGCAAGCGCTCCCCTTCCCAGAGTGATCTAACGGTGATCACCCTGTCCTAATCAGTTCAATTCAATTAAAGGGTGATTGATGGTTGAGGGGGGTGGGTGATGTATCGGGGTAGCCCGTTACATGATATTGAAACCAAATGGTGTCAATAGGGATATTGTCTAGCGTGACAATTCCCTGCCGACATTATCCGTGATGGATAATATTGAAGGAATATTATCCCCTTGTAGGATAATATTCATGCGCTGCTCAAAAATTGGTTAATAAAGACATATCAACCAAGGTTACCACCAATCGCTGCTAGACGCGCGCAATGAGTGGTGAGCAGGTTGTCGTCATACGACAATGTAGATTAGTATAGTTACATAAAGACTGAAGTTATATTGATAGGTTAACTATATTAAATGCAGTTCTATTTTCACGTTTTACTCAAACGAGCTGATTGAGTAGGATAACTTTCTCTGCACGTACTAGTGTGCGTGAAGTTTCGCGGCACCCCAAACAAAGGGAGCCCTGTTACAGATAATTGCAACGTAGTCACGCCAAATTCTTTTCAGATGGTACTGATTTTAAGACTGGTACGGTTTTTAGAAATGTGCACAAATGTAGTAATTGTAATGAGGTTTGCACATGTTTTATACTTTGACATATTAACGAAGTGCCAATGTGATGTAAGACCCGTCAAGGTGTTAAGCAGTTTGCTTTGAATGTGTGCCAACAAGTGTTGCGAGAAGGCTGCCAAAGAATCTTTTTTGGTTCTAGCATCACGCGATATTTCAACCACGGTTGCCGGTGCTGAGGTCAATACGCCCGATCAGGACCTTCGATTTTGCACAGGAGTCTACATCACAGAAGTGGGACAAGATCGAAGGCGCCTAAAAACTTGGATGATGGAGAGTAGGCCGATGCGCGTAAATGCCTTGGTAGAGGACGGTAAGTAAAACGCGGTGAGTAGCGCCGAGTCAGTCATCCTACAACTACTAAGCTATCATAAAGTTGAGTTTGCACTCCTTGTGCTATGTACGGAAACTCGCATTGAGAGGTTGCTGTGCTGTTAGGTCCACATGCAAAACACAAGACCATCTGCAATCTTACGGAATTTGTAGCTGATACGTGCATGCTGTGCGCTAGAAAAACATTTGCTTCATCGGTGTGCTAAGAACTGGACGGTAAACCAGACCTTACCATCCGTCCGTCGCATATTCATCCATGTTAAATATACCAGATCAAAAAGTTTATGGGAAAGCTATTGTTTATGTGCTTCTTCAGCGGTGCACAAACCTGGCATTGAACAACAGCACGTACGCGAGTTGTAGAACCTACATCATCATTGTTCATTTAGTCATGACCAATACTAGCCATTCGCTACAAGTTCCTTCATGTCAAGTGGGCAGCATAGTTATTTTAAACATATTACATTCATATCATCGTAAGCTGCGTGCGCCTTCCAAGTCCATTTGCACTACGACATTACATATCCGCGCAGTCTTCACGACATAACCGTAAAAAGAGACGTGCTACCAGTCGTCGAAATAACGAATGTTTCGAGGTTTGTTGCCGACTTTGACTACAACCCGGTCCTTTGGCACAAGTGACTTGAAAACTTGCCCACGATGTGCGAGTATCGACCCATGGAAAACTAGTTGCGCTGGCTGAGTTGGTCCCCTGCCACCGTTTCGTCCGTGATCTCGGCAATGACCTTGAGCGCCATGATCTCGTCGTTGACATTGCAAATAGACGCCAGACGGTCAGCTAGGAAGTCCATCGCGACATAAAGTGCCCAAGTGGATGGCAACAAGCTTACACCAAAGACAGTCTTGTACATCGTGGACATGAGCACCATTCCACCGTTTGGCACTGGCGGCGCGCAAGCGCACGCGACCAGCGTTAGGAAGAAGATTGCAACGAGACGCAGAAAGTTGAGCTCATCGCCATTACCGGATGACTCAGCAAGAAAAATTATACCAATGGGGAAGTACCATCCCGAGCCCGACATATTCGTGACGGCGCCAATGGAGACGACAAAAGTGGCGATCGACTGTGAGCACACGCGAGCCTTCTGAATACAACTGAGCGTTACTGGAGCAGAAGCCAGCGACGAAGATGAACCGAAAGCGAAGAGATACGAGCGGACCATGTGGCGCATGTGCACGTACGGGTTGCACCGGGTGAGAAGAAAAATCACGAGCGGGTAGACGACCAAGATCTGCAGTGCAGTAGCCAGAATACAGGCCACCAGAAACATGTAGACTTTGGGCATCTGACTCACTGCGTCCTGACTGGATGCAAAAGCTCCAGAGATGATGGAGACGACAGCAACAGGTGTGATCCAAATGACCCACTCCATGGCCAGAAAGAAAGTGTTGCGCAGCTGCAAGAGCACCAGGTACAAATAATTCACACGGCAGCTGTTCGAAAAGTAGCTTCGCCCTGCAACTGAGCCCAACACTGCAGCGAAGACGATGATCGACAAGAGATTGCCTTCAGCCAATGCAGCAAAAATGTTGTTGGGTACTACGGACTCCAGCGTCGAAATCAACTGCTTTCGTAGCGTCAGGTCAGTGATCACCGCATCGCTGTTCGTCACAAACACTTTGTTCATGTCAGTCAAGACGAAGGCGTTGTTCAACGATAGCTCTGTCGCGTCGGATGAGCAAACGATACTGTTGTTGCTCAGCATCTGCACCATTTGTCCGTTCGAGCAAGTCAGCCCCACTGCATTCGCACTAGGCATGGCAAATTTGGTCTTGAGCCGGAAAAAGGGACGCAAGACGAGAGCTACACTGATCCCCAAGATCGTAGAGACCAGCCACCCCACCGCGAAAACCTTCAGCGTCTGCAGTCCGACGATCGATACTTTGCCGACAAAGACAATGTCTCCCACAGCTACAGCCACGGAGCAGAAGACGTAAGGCACCACGAGGGCATTGACAGCTCGGAGGAACAAGTCGCCAGGTAGCGATATCCACTGCGCTGCAATGGGCGACATGCCGATGTAGGTGAAGACGATCCCCAGTGCAATGCCGAAGATAGCTCCAATAAGCATGTACCTGACCGACAGCTTCAGGTTACTCCCATTTCCTCGAAATCCTTTCGTCGGATCTGGACGCTGTTCCACGGGACAGTCAGCACTGGAGATGAAAGGCATTGCCGTATGCTCCACGTTGTCGTAGTCAGTGGGCGCGGACAAGGAGTTGCCGCTTGCAAAGTTCTCCCGCGCATCCTTCGCTTTCAGAAAAGCCGCTACCGGGTTCGGATTCTGGCGGTTGGTGGAAACGTTCGTCTGAAGACCATCACCACCTCGTTCTTCACTGGTCTTGTGGAAACTCGCAGCCGTCGTAGAGAGAGGGCGACGTCCAGTTGTAAAGTCAGTGCGCAAGTAGCTGGTCGTGGGGGGCGGAGGCGCTTGGAGTGCGACATGTTGGGAAGAAGGCAGCATCGAGGGCAGAGCCAACCTGTCGCTGGTAGGCCCGGGATGCAGCCGCTGTTGGTCGTCAGAGCATCGATTCGATTGGTCTGCGTGGCCTTCACGCAACTTCTGCTGCTGCTCCTTCTCCAGCAGCACAACCGTTGGCGCTGGCGGACGTCGATTGCTGGGTCCGTCCATGGGCAGTGGACAGCGACGTCAAGTGTCTGGAGATGTCGAGACAAGTGTCCAAGAGCTCTTGTCCAGTCTTTCGTCAGTGATTTGGCACCTCGTTGTCTCGGCTGGGAAGAGCTCGTAACGGACGTTGAGTGGGGATTATCATGCAATTGAGACGCGTCATTTTTGGTGGAGAGGAAGCAAGTCGCGGTGAGTTGAGTGAACTGCTGCGGGTGGAAGTTCAGTCCGAACGCATTGACACTCACGCGGATGATCCATAGGAGTTGGCGTCTGAACTGTCTCCCCAGGCTGAGCACCGGCCGACCGTTGCTCGCTTCATTGTGTGCGTCATCTCATTAGCTCTTTGATTCATCACTACTACCTGCTTTAAAGCCTCCGTCGTTGCCATGTGGGCTGCACTGGCCGAGTGGGTAGCCGATAGGAGCTCTTAGCCCGCAGAGGGGCTCGCGTCGGTCCGTGTCAGGACATGGCTCATTCCATACTCATCACTGATGTCCCTGCAGACATGTCACCTCTTTACCTGTCACGACTGTGCCACCACATGCAGGCTGACAAAGTAAAGTTGCTGCTATCGTACGGGTGTTGTCGAGGAGTGAATGCACGAAGGAAGTTCAGGTTGCCTCACTGGTTGGGTGAACACTCATCTTCTATCTGGATGACGCCCGTGTAGCGGCAGGAAGCATCGAAGCTCAACTAAAGCTTTTTCATCCTGCAATGAACTGTCCGTCTGGGGATGAGGTGGCGCGTCTTCGTCTTCGTTCAGTAAAGACGACATGGCTATACCAGCGAACGCAGGTACATCGTCCGTCACCTTCCAGCTTGCGCTGAGCCATTGCAAATGCTTTACAATGAACGAGTCGATCAAGAGATTTTCTACAACTGAAGCGCAATGCATGGCATCGAAAGTGCTGCATGAAGTCGCGGTCTTGGAAGCAATCCCGTATGGACATGACGCAGCTGCGACGAATCACACTATCTGGCGCTTGCAAAGACTTGCAGGATTTTTGACGCATTGCAAGCACTTGTTGCACGCGAGCGACAGCTTCAGCAGAGATTTCAAACGCATGCAAAGGTGCCGGTGTCATGAAGACCATCAGATGGCAGGTCTTTCGATGTACGTGCTGGTGCAAGTTTTGCTGTTTCATATGGCATGGCAGTCTGTGGACTTTTCTCAACCGTCTGCAAGTTGGTGTTCAGGTTCGACCATGTCAACATACGTTGTCTGATCCACTAGATGCATTGAGGTTGCGATAATCGTGTACGACTGCTGATGCACCTGATCTGTTCGTCCCACTCATACTCACATGGCTACAGAGGACATCTACATGGCTACAACCCTGTCACCTCTCTGGTCGTCGACACGCGCTATTCTCATTGGTCCAAAACCTCGTCATTATTCCTTCGTCTCTCTCTCACAGCTCGACGATGGTCAAGACGACGTTGAACCCGATGGAGACGTATCGCCGGGAGCAGAAGAAGAAGGAGGTGAAGAAGCACCGAGCAGAGCGACAGAAGGAGAAGAAGGAGAAGCTGCAGTCGATGGATCGAGTGGCGCTGGAGGAGCAGCTCAAGCTCCTGGAGCGCCAAATGGCTGTGAAAACCTCAACGGACGGGCCCAGCCGCAAGCGCAAACAGGAGCTGGAAGACACGCTGCGAGCGGTCGTAAAGAGGCAGAAAGAGGTGAAGAGATGGCTGCAAATGTGGTGGTGTGGGTGGGTAGCTGACAGCTCTGATGGATTGTTTCTGTTGCCTGTAGATGGAGGAGGAGGAAGAGCGCAGGAAGAAGTTGACAGACGCGTCGCTTCCGTCGCCAATGGTGAGTGGTCATGATCGTGCAAGAAAGATCTGGAGAAAAGACAAACAGACATTGACTGCTACTGGTGCTTAGAGTTTGACGGAGTTGATGCAGAGGAACAGAGAGAAGTTTGAGAACCCAGAGGTGCGAAGGGAAGTCGATGGTGGGCGAGGGCTGATTCTAACACTGACGACGTTGATGTTGATGCTGCAGGACTCGATCTACTACCACCCGACGCTGAATCCGTTTGGAGCGCCACCGCCAGGAAAGCCGCAACTGTACCGCCAAGGGCAACAACCCTCCGGTCCAATGGGATTACCTAGGAGCCCTTGCCACGGGCAGCCTAGCCAGCATCGACATCTGGAACGTCCATCGCAGCATAGATTTCAGCATCGACTGCTGCTACCCAGAATCGAGCGACGAATACAAGAGCCTCCATTTGCAACAATGCAGCAGCCGCGTGGGATGGTGAAACGGCCTGGAAAGCGACCACCGCTGCCGTTGGATCCCCCCGCCACCAGGGACGATTCAGGTGCCTTGTCGACCGCCGTTACCGAGTGGAGTGATTCCGGTGCGTCCGCCTCCTCCGCCACCTGCTCACGTGCAACCTACTGCAACGATGTCGCTGCCGGCTTCATCGTTGATACAACAGACGCATCAGGAGGTGTTGTCACCTTCGAACCCCATGGTAACAGTTGCAGCTGTCGATGGCAATCGTCAAGAAGTAGCTGTCACGGACGAAGACAACAACGTAGTTGCTCCCTATTCAACAACTGAGGCGCACACCATCGACGACTGTCGAGTGGAAGACGATCAAGTGATGGACGAAGACGCAGCGGGAAGACGGGCGCAACTCTGTTCGCTCGTTCCAGTGGCTCTTCGAGTGCATCGACAAGTTCCTGTCACCCCGAGCCGCGCTGCAATAGCCGGCAGTGTCCCTTCCGTCATTACTCGACGTAGCTCAGTTCCTGCACCTCGCACTTCTGTGCTTCGACCTGCTCGATCAGTGGACGTTGCTCCTTCAGTTTCGAGATGTGCGACAACCACCACCACCACCTCCGCGAGTAGCTCCATGTCGAAAGAGTATGACGCTTTTATAGAGGACATGAAAGAGCTGCTCTAATTGATCCACACGCCGCCGAGCTGTCGTTGACCCGCAGCTCGAATAGAGGTTTCAGCTCTAACGTGTCCATTCGCTGTAATTAAACGCCCCCTTATTCCCTATCAGACAGACCCCATGTCGCCCACCAACAGCTCCGTCACGATTGACCACCACTTCAACCACAACCACGACCACGACCACGATGACGACGAGGCCACAGGTGCTCGCTTTGAGCGTCTAGCGCCCCAGTACCAAGCGGCGTTCGCCCGTTTCCTGCGGCGCCACTACCACGCTGACCTCCAGCTGCTGCGTCGGCGTCTGCGCCATGTCTCTGCGCCCTCTGCCGTCAATAAAGCAGCGGCCGAGTCGAGTCCTCTGGCCTTCAGTCAGCGCGTGTGTGCGCAGCGCCTGCTGGACTTCAACGCGCACTTGGGGACGCTCTTGTTCCGTCATCCAGAGCAGCTGCTGCCGCTGTTCCACGTGGCGCTGGCCAAGGAGGTTGGCAGCTGCGAGGCTGGCGAGCCGCTGCTGGAGCGTGGAGAGCTCCCGGTGATTCCCCTCAAGGTCCGACGCCGTCTCAAGGTGCGAGTCGAGCACTTGCCGCCTGTGGCGCCACTGCAGAAATCGTCCATCAGTGCCATTCGGTCGAACGACGTGAAGCAGCTGGTCCAGATTGCAGGCACGGTGGTGAGGACGGGAGTGGTACGATACAAGAAGCCACTGCTGCTGCTGCTGCTGTTGTTGTTGCTAGTGCTGCTGCTGTTGTTGTTGTTGTTGTTGTTGCTAGTGTTGTTACTGCTACGTCGTGTTAGGATGCTAGACGGTTTGACTGACTGTGTGTCTGCTTATCATGATCTGTCGTCTGTCTTTATCTTGTCTAGATGAAGATGCAGGAGGTGGAAAGAGAGTACCAGTGCTGCAACGTGCGGTGCGGACACCGGTTCTTGGTCAAGTCGGACCCGGAACAAGGCAATGTGATGGAGATCCCGGTACGAGAACAGAAGGAGACGGCTGCTATGTTTCTGCTTGTGTGTTGGACGCTGTGGAAGACGGACGTGGCTAACTGTTCTGAGGTTGTGGCTGATGCAGAAAGTGTGTCCTTCCGGCAGCACTGGAGACAAGAGCAGTGGCGGCAAAAAACCGTGCAAGTCGACGCAGTTCCTGCCTCTTGGTGGCGCTGATGGCAGTGTAGTGTCAGATCACCAGGTGATAAAAATCCAAGAGCAGGCGTCGAAGCTAGGCGTTGGCTCCATTCCAAGGTCAATGTTGGTTGTGTTGGAGGACGACTTAGTGGACTCTGTAAAGGCTGGCGATCAGGTGGTTGTTGTGGGCATTCTCATGCGCACGTGGAAACCGTGTGTGAGAGGAGTGCGTTGTGACCTGGAGACGACGATCAAGGCAAACAGCATCCGCATCAAAAATGCATCAACGTCTCAAGTTCTCGTCACAGAAGAGCTGAGGGCAGAGTTTGCGCAGTTTTGGGCAAAGCACAAGCAGGATCCAATGCGAGGACGCAACGAGATCATTGCTAGCATTTGTCCCAAGGTCTACGGCTTATTTGTCGTGAAACTAGCGGTGGCGCTCACCGTGACTGGAGGTGTCTCTTACGTGGATGAGTCAGGCATGAAGACGCGGGGCGAATCACATATGCTGTTAGTTGGCGATCCTGGCACCGGGAAATCGCAGTTCCTTCGTTTTACCGCTGAGCTGAGTCCCCGCTCTGTGCTCACGACAGGCATCGGCACGACAAGCGCTGGTCTGACCTGTACAGCCGTGAAGGATGGCGGTGAGTGGATGCTGGAGGCTGGTGCGTTGGTGCTGGCAGATCGTGGCGTGTGCTGCATCGACGAGTTCAGTAGTATCCGTAGTAACGATCGCACGTCCATTCATGAAGCCATGGAGCAGCAGACACTGAGCGTGGCCAAGGCTGGTCTAGTGTGCAAGCTCAACGCACGAACTACAATATTCGCCGTGACGAACCCAAAAGGCCGGTATGACCCGACAAGGGACGTGTCTGTGAACACCAGTCTCGCCAGCCCGTTACTCAGTCGCTTTGATCTGATCCTCGTACTGCTGGATCGAATGAACTCGCGTTGGGACCAAGTGATCTCCTCCTTTATCCTCAAACAGGCAGTTGGGACCAGCACGAGTATGAAAGAAGAAGCCGAGCGCAACGAGAACGAGTCAGCATTTGATAATGCGGTGGAGCAAACAGCACCATGCCTGTCAGCCTCAGCAGCAGATTCGTCAGTGTGGAGTATCCAAACACTTCAGGCGTATATATGTCACGTCAAGGACAGGTACCAGCCTCAACTGAGTCGTTCTGCGATGACGATACTGCAGCGCTATTATCAACGACAGCGCGCATCTGATAGCCGCAGTGCCGCTCGTACAACGATCCGACTTCTGGAGAGCCTTACAAGACTGGCACAGGCCCATGCACGACTGATGTGTCACTCGGAAGTAGCTGTGACGGACGCAGTAGTTGCTGTCTTTGTCATGGAAGTGAGCAAGTCCACGGACAATTGCTCGGATATGCTGGAAGGAGGTGTAGAGTCGGTCTTGCACTCTGACTTTTCGGATGATCCACAAGGAGAGTACATGCTCCAAGAGAAACTCGTTCTTGACTACCTCGGACTGCATGAATTCAGCACGGCACACGGTAGCCAATTTGGACCAACTGCGTCCCAGCCACCAGCCTTTGCGAAGCAGTCTTCGAGGCCGCAAATGTCTCATCCCGACACCAGCTACTCTCTGTTTGGTAACGAACTTGAACTGAATGCCGTCAGCAATGAAGTAGATGCAGACTGTCTGAATCTTGCTGGGGCAGAAGAGCGACAAGTACCCGCAGGAAAGAGGTTATTGCCAGGAAGGCCACAGCAAATCGAGAATACTCACATTCAGCGCAAACAGCGATGCAAGAGTCCTGGTTCTCGTTACGTTCCATGGAGTCAACGACGAGAACAACCCCTTTCTTCAACGTCAACGTCCCAGCGCCAAGACGATGATGATGATAATCTGGATATCATGGACGATTATCGCCAGGGTCTGCAAAGCCAACACGCAGAAGAGCAGTCCGATACGCCTTCGCAGTCACGCTTTGATTTCGGTCGTTGGAGTCAGCAAGCGCAGGCAAGTCAATCGATCATCAACAAGTGGAAAAAGTGAAGCTGTGGAATAGTCAGGGGTTCAGACAATTTTGATCATTTCCAGCTTCACCCAAGAGCTACACGTGCATCAGCGAGTAGAGCAAGTACACGTCTTTTCGGCTCTCAAAGTCCAGAATGACGTCCATGATGCCGTCGTCAAGACTGTTCAGCTTGTCAATCTAGAATGACAGCAGCAACTTCACCATCAGTCGATGATTCGCACACTTCAACTTGACAACTGAGCAAATAACCGACAGACGTACCGCTTGGCAAAGCTCCAGCGCCAAGGACCCACCCACTTTGGCGTGCTCGGGCGTGTCTTTCGTGTCCAGACAGAGCACATGGAGCGGTCGCCAGGCCGTCGTGGGCTCGTTCCCAGGTCCGCCAGGGCCTCCCGCAGCTCCTCGAAGCTGCAGATCTTCCAGCACGATCTCGAAGATGCGGTCGTCAAAGCAGAGCACAACGTCCAGTCCCTGGAGCTCCTTCACACTGAGGTCCTGCCACCGCTGCGGACACGGCTTGGTCAGCATGTCTCGCTCGAGCATGGCCAGCACTCCGTTCCGCTTGAACCTGTGGGGGGGGGAACGGACATTAGAGCAGCGGTCAGAAGCCGTCGACAATCGAGACGAGGCGCTGCCCTCGGGCCTCGACCACGTCTACGCTCGAATGTAGCCATGTCTGGACGGCCCCACTTGAAGGCACGAGCAAGAGCAAAGGCACGCACAGCTCCCCGTTCTCGCCCTGGAGCTCCCGGTACATGGTCGCGTAGGGTGTGGCGAACTCGTAGATGCGCGGGTCGTCGCGCGAGGGACCGGGGAAACGGACGCGATTGCCGGCGCCGAAGGAGCACACGCGCAGCCCGGTGGCGTGCAGATGGTCGTGCGCCTCGGTGCTGCGGTTCACGTTGTTGGCGCACAGCATGGCAAACATGATGGGCCGCGTCGTCGTCATTTTGGTTCCGAAAAGCGGGTTGTCAGAGGTGCTGGTAGTCAAAAGTGTGACTTGGTAGGTGTGAAGTAGTAATGTGACTACTTTTGCGACTGGACAATGTGAAGTGAAGGTGCACGAAACGAACGAGATGCATGTATCGAGTGAGTACGAGAGTTTCAAATAAGGCGCCCACGCCCACGACCACCCACGCCCATGGTTTTTTTAATCGTCATGGGTGCGAAGGACAAAGAGTAGGTGGGTGTGGGTGCGACGTCGCAAACCTTTAATTTATTTAGCACCTTTTACTTTGTTATAAATCTATTTGTCGCGGTGTACGAGGCTTATTCGTACAAAATAAATCTGGTGACCAATTGGGTAAAGAATTGAAGTAGGTGGGCACTGTCTACCCACGCCCAAGATTTTTAGCTCATGGGTGAGTGCGAAAAGCGCCGATTTAGATCTCTGGTGCATATTCACATTTACAGATCGACGTCGTCGAATTGTGTACTCCCCATTCCTACGATATATTCACAGCATCTATAAATTCCAACTCGCAAATTTGTTTGGCATACTGAGGACAGGCACTTCGCGCTAGTGCTATTCTGCACTCACTATAAATACTGATTAAGCCCTTGGATCAGTGATTGTTACTTGGGATATGATGGATGTGTAATTTTTAGGACTTTGATGAAGCTTGCACCAACCTTTATCAGAGGTGGCTAGCACTCATAGGTATGACACAAAAACTACCATTAAAGTAGTGACAGAAGCAAGTTGTGAAAGCAATGTACAACGGAAGTAGATATACTCAAACCCGTTTCCTTGGATTCACACCCTTTGTCAAACCTGGTATTCGCATTCCCTCCTGCTAAACATGATATGCACACCCCTGCCAAACCAATCATTACATCCCCTTTCCTGGTACGCTTTCTCCATGTAAAACAACCGAAATAGAATCGTAATATATTTTGCTCATTCATTTCACACCTTTCTTCGAAAACATATTCGTTTGACAGGAGTGCACCATCAAGGGTCATGTGAGATGGATCTTATATTAAAGACAATAAAGACCATAAATAAAAATGTTCAGGAGTTTACGCTAATTTGTTCGTCTAATATTGAATGGGGTGATCAAGAGAATGCAAAATGACGTCACTATCGAGTCATCACCGTACAGTCTACTAATTATAAGTACATACCAAGTGAAATTCTTCTACAGTTGTAAGCTTCTGTAATATAACAATACAATAACCATCTAACTACAACCGTTATATTACTCCCATCAACCTCCTGTGATGTTGCCCCGGCTCTCCTCTCTTCACTCACCCACTGAAAGTCTAGACAAAAACGCAAACACAGCAACTATCAAAAAGTTTGATTTACAGGGCAAAAGTAGCTGCAAAGTCATTGCTGCTCTCGTTACGCCGAAGTGCGTCAATGGGCTAAGCTTGGGCATCCTCGCTGTTGGACCGCGGAATAAACGCATGATCGGGGTATCTTTTGACAACTGATAGACGATTGAAGAAAGGGGCAAGTGCGCGCATATAATCAAGCATACAGGCTCATTGCGTATTGTTTAATGGTTGCGCGCTCTCTTTGTCGACAAAGCGTGCACTATAACAAATGCAGGCAGCTTGTAACATGCAACCGTGTCGATGTATGCTTCCGTTGTCCCTTCTGCTGCAGACTGTCCATAAAATTTAGGAATGGCCTGCAAGCAGCAACATGTATTTGGTGAATTGGCGCAATAATTGGATAGTTAATATTATAGACGCCTGAGCTACATGGATGGCTAGAGGGAAGACATGTTTATAATAATTAAGACTGTAACATCTATTAGTATTTACGTTTTATCGAATAATTCAAGAAATCAAATATAAATCTATCAAAAACAATATTAGATAGTAGGATGCCAATATCAATTCTAACAGGAAGAATATGAATGTAAGTAAAAGAAGTGTGATTATATCGACTCCATTTACAATTTAACCAAGGAGACATCATACCAGGGCTGAACCCCCCAACGATTTTCGGCGAGGCAATCGGGATTTGCTTTAATACATTGAAACTGGATTTTGGGCAAACAAAATCACGGTTATTTTCCTCAAGGAGGGAGCGCCTACTGAGAAGAATGACGATGTAACGTCGTCACCGTCGTGCATGTAGTCGTAGAAGGTCGGCAAGCTGCTTTTAGATGAACGTCATTTCGTTCCCTCGTGTGGGTTAATACAGTTCTTCATCCTGAGTGAATGTTGACGCAATCACGAACTCGGTCCACTGAATGCCAAAGGTCTGCGCTCTTCATCGAATGATCCGCGGGGCTCGTCGTCTACTGTAAACTTAGACAGGACGTCCTTCACCTAAATGCGGTTGCCAGTCGGCAGTCACACTCCGATAACTCACGAGAGTTGAGGTATAACTTGATAACTTGAACTTTATAATTTTCTCTTCTTATGGTAATTGTTCAGAGTCTTTAAGGCATGCAATCAGCACTCTTGGCATATAGTGATGATGCATCATCGGTAAACTTTTTCCAGGCTGCGCCAGGAGACCAACAACGTTTCCGTTCCGGTGTAGGAACTTCAACATAATATCATCGTTAAAGAAAATTTGAAGTTCAACATGGCGGCTTGCGCGTCTCGCTGTCAAAGGTCGAGAACGTCGTCGTTAAAATTATCGACCTATTTGTCAAATTGGCTTAAAGAAAACGACGATTGCGACATAGTAGTAAGTGCAGCTAGAGGGTGCTACTAATGCTATACATCGTCAGTAATGCTAGTATACTGAAAAGTGTTAGGTCTATTGCCTTCCTTGCAGTTGCAGGGATCGGCGACCGGCCGGGCTGTCTGTTAGTCATACGATTATCGGGAAATAAAACCAAATAAAACCTGATTTCGGAAGATCGCAGGCTGTCAAGTTTATCGACAAAACATTAAAACCCGATTGTAAAAAACACTTGGTGTTAGCCCTGCATCATACGTATTGGTCGTACATAGACCATTGCACTGGCAATTCGTCTGGCATAATATGATACTCCCGTCCTAATTTTGATACACCCACCCTCATTTTGTTACGTCCGCAGTTGCTCCCTTCCCATCATATATCTGATATGAGACCACATTTTATTCATCGAAGTAAAATGTGGTCATCATCTCGAGGAGCACTTAATTCTATGCTTTTATGGCGAACCTCGATAAAGTGTGCCCTACTCGTCATGGAAATGGATTTAATGTCACATATCGTACACTTTACCAATGCCACGAGCGCTAAATGACGTCGATTACTGTCGTGGCCCACACGATCCTTCAAAGGCGTAGCTCGAGGACAGGGAATGTACGCAGACTTAAACTTAGGTGTACAATATAAGAACGTCAACATGTTAATTAATTCATCAAACACTATAAATACTAAACATGCTAGCAGAGCCATCAAACATAGGCGATTTCGACCCGTCTTCGAACAAGGTGCTCGCTTCGTCTTCCTCGTAATTTATGTTGTAGCCCATCGCCTGCCGGCAACCGCCACCACAGCAAACACGAACAATAATCGGAGTTGAGGTGTTAAGAATCAGATTGTATGCATCAGGATTATATTGAATCAGGAAACCGGTATCTAGCCTGCCAGGGTACTGTTGAACACACGCTGATTACCCACCACCCTATGTATTCAAAACTATGTACTTATTTTTAAGTTATAATAAAAACATTAGGTGTCTGATTGATTCAAATGGGCCGTCGTATTTGCTAAAACTTGATGCCACTCTCATCGCAACGATGCAACGATGCTTTTTTTCACCCGTACCACGCTATTTCTTACGCCTTTCGGTGCCATCACCACGTAGTAATTAAATCTATTACCAAATTTAAATTTACAATGAATAACTTACTATCGCTTATGCTGCCTGCGATACGCTCGAAAATGTCCTCAGGCGCGTACAATATGCAGCAAGCACGAGTATTGAAACGATCATCCTGCTAAGTAGGTAAGCAACATGAAAGATAACTACATCAAAACGTAATGTGTATGGTGCAACCAGGGTGATAAGTCGAAGTCAGTGAAACTTTTGACAACTTTCTTGCGCTAGTGGCTAGAATGTGTGATTCTAAGCGAAAGCAGGGTCATGAAAGGTCTACTCGTGCCTTAATGAGTCGTCGACAGAACGCTACGCGCAATCCATCGCTATACGGGCATGCAGAGGTCACGCTTGATTTTCCCAGGCGTCAAAATCGTAGTTAATGAAGTCATCCTGACCATAAGGTGTGGGTAGGTTGCCAACTTGGAATACCACCAACCTCCTCATGATTCGCTTAGTAGGAGCAGAAAAAACATAGAGTAATAGATAACATACATCGTTTAATCCAGTATGGCGAGGTCTGCAATCGACACATAATGCATACTTTCTAAGGCAATTTCGCCGATCAAATTGTGCCAGAATAATCAGATTAGGCATCGTAATCTTTTGCACACGAGATTGGAAGTTATTTCTGAGAATGGGTCCTTTTCATTTAATTGTTTAGAATGCATCAAAAGTCAATTATTTAGGCTATATAATGAGGGTGGCTAGCAAAATTCTGGTAGGTGGGTCATGAAAATCTACTGGGTTATTTACAGCTCTCAATGGAATTACATTTTATAAAAAGCCAGACCGATCAGCGTTGCAATGATCCTTCTACGACCGGCACTTCTTACCCATTCCTAATAGTAGAAAATTAGCTTCGCTAGAGACACAATAACGTTGCTTCCTCCGAAAAATTGTCCGCTTCTAATTTTGATCAGATATGTTGACAAATTGAGCGTCCACCTACCTGAAATTATGGCCAAAAAGAATTCGGTCAATGGTTACAACCAGGATGGGCTGTACAACTTCAGTAAAATTTCCTCATAATTTGGCTCGTGTCAGTTGATATGCACGAGACAAATTGCAAGCAGTCTGGTGGTTTCATTAAGTTTACTACGCAAGAAGCAGGCATCATGTAAATCCTCGATTCTTTCAGTCCAGTAAACCTATTTGTGACGGGTGCCACGTTTCCACTCGGCCACCTTTTCTCTCGCTTTCCTCCGCATGTTGAGCCGATTTATTTCTCGTCTTCGGTCATCTCCAGCCTAGCACTCTTACTCTCCGTCGATTTTATTCAGATGCTGCAAAATTAGGTAATGGTTCGGATACGCTATTGGTTGAGCATAGCTTCCAGATCCAGCTCGAGCTCAACTTACGTCTTCTTAATCTGCTACTGTTAATATTGGCTATCGAAGCTAGAGATAATCATGGAAAACCAAACAGCCCGATTTGTTAATGTGGCTGCTATCGCAATTTACTGAACTTTCTACCTGTGCATGATAGGACGTTGTAGATATTGCTGGCACTGCGTGATCATCTCAATCGACCACATTATAAGAGCAGTAGCAACGGTAGGGCTGCAATGTGTAATCGGCATCCATCGACTAGATATTGACCGAATTTCTGGTGAAACAAGCTGAACCTTAACATGGAGTTTTTAGTCGTCCATAATTTGCGCTGAATTACTTTCATTTAAAATGGAGTCACTGTCAATCACAATATAACTACAGCTTCCATAGATGACCGATCCACACCGAATTGAGCGGGAGACGTGTCTTACACGATCGATCACGTGCCAAGCCCAGTTAGAGTACGAGCGAGAAAACAAAGTGTCTTTCCAGCAGTCTGTAATCATTAACCCTGGAGAAAAATTCCTTTCTCGTTGTGAGTGTGTTGGCTTGCTAAATGAGATCTGTTCCTTTTGTTCGCGATGGTTCCGTTCGATCAACTCGATTATTCACTTTATGCGTATGGCAAAAGGTCCGATAAAGTGCATTCCCTTCGGCGACAAAGAAAATCTTAGACTACCTAACCAATATGTTATGGGAGGAAGCGCTGCAAAAAGCACCATCCAGTCTTGTATGAGCCACGACGAGTATGCATCTGAGGTGCATATCGCTTTTCAGGTCGTCTGTGTTATAATTTTAATTTTACTTAGCTAGCTCTAGGACGTCTTGCAAACGACTTCACGAAGCGGACAGCGACCTCAAAACTTTTGTTTGCTGCGCTTTCGGAAAACTTGCCTGCGTCGTCGAGTTTGCACATTTGAAAAGGAGGTAATTCCCTCGTACAACTTCGACAAGACAACGTCCTTGTTTGCAAGCAATGCGAGTTGCGAGCTCAAACATCTTGCGGCCGATAGCGTCATTTTTTCTCTCGCATTTCCTGTTATCAACAAGTTTACAATCGACAATTCGCGTGGATGTCTGACAGACTTGTTGACCCGTCGACTCACTCACGGCTTTGAACGGTCACGACGCTATGATTGAAAATGCGCTGACCAGGAAATGGTGTCCGCTCTGTAATCGCGAATGATGGTGCTACCTGCGCCCTGTCACCAGCGCTATCTACAAACCTATTTTTGAAACGCTGAACCACAGTCAACAATAGAGGACCAATAGAACAATATAAACACGTTGCATTATAATCACGACCAGAGCTCTCACGCACAAAATTTACAGCCTGCTTCCGCGACACTCAGCTCAATGCAGTAAGTCAGTCATGACGCTGTCAGATTGTGCACGCGGCGAGTCCAGCATACACAGACTCTCCACTGAAGCTGTACAGAAGCTGTTGTCGAGCGAGAAATTGTGTGCCAGCACCTCCAGCGTGCTAGGCGTCAATGGGTTGAACACTTCTGCAGTGTGAGGGTGAAGCATTTCCTGTCTCTGAATTTCCTTGGCATCCAGTTGCTTGACAAACTCCCGGCAAGTGGGGCAAATCCGCACCGGAAACTTGCGCGCCCGACGATACGGGTCAATCTCATACAGACTCTTCTTGATGCAACAGTTGGAGCATAGCGGTGCTTTGCACAGGTTGCAGATGCGGTGTACAGCTCTGGACTTCCATATCGTGACCACACTCTTCTTGCACGACGCGCAGCACTTGTCCAGTTTCGCGTGAAGCGCCTTAGGGGCGTTGCTGTGCACGCGGTGGTCGATGCACCAGCGCAGCTTCTTCGCGTAGGCAAAGTCCGGTACAGTCCAGACCTGTTCAATGCACTTAGCGGCGTGGGCCATAGCCAGCGGTCCAAGAATGCTGCCCATGTCGGCCTCCATACTGTAGCTTTTAATGAACAGGTCGACCGTTCCGTTGGGACGTTCGCGATAGATCGAGCCGATGACGATGCGCGTGCGTCGCAGTCCGTCAACGTGGGGGGGAAAAGCAGGGTGGTCGATCGAGTGGTGGACTTCATAGCCGATGAACTCGCCCGTGTCGCGACGCCTCATCGTACCTGTGCCTCCTAAGAACATCACTTCTCTGGGCGCCACGAGCTTCCCGGAGACACCACGCGGCGGCCTCACTTCGATCCACTTGAGAGCAAGGAACCGAAACGGGTCCTCTTCGGTCGGCCCCAGTAGCTGCTTGAGCACAGCCCCGTTGCCAATGTTCTTGTCCACCACGGCGCACTTGAGGGCCATGGCCTGCGTGTTGCCCATGAAGACGCCGTACATGAGCTCACTGAGAGGACACTGAACAAATCCCATGCCTAGAACCACGTCCTTGGACGGCCTCGATGTGGTGCTGCGGCCCCCGTCTGCCGCCACGTACGCAGCTTCGGGCGCGTCGTCGCACCGCGTGTACGTGGTGAAGTGCTCTTTGTGGTGAATCTTCTTCCACAGCCGCGGGTCCTGCTTGTCGTGGGAGCGCGGCTCGACGTCGTGCTCGTCCATGTCGCGCAGCGTGCGGTCCAGCAGCTGCATGGCCATCTCCCGGAACGTCAGTTGGTCTTCTTCCGAAACCTGCGCGACCTGGAGCGGCGGCTGGACGGAGACCGCGACCATCGCTTCAGTGTTGCAATTTACAGTCTGCAAGCGTTTAGGCAACGCTTGGAGGGGTCCTGACGCCCTTGTGCAGAAGGTGCGGGCGGCTACCCGAGGCGCACTCGACGACAGTTCGATGGCGCATGTGCTACGTTGGACGAGATGTGGGATAGTCTACTCTTGAGCGGGTATTCACTTATAAAGGGGTGATGCGTAGCTCCTCTATGAGTCGTGGCTTGCCCTGTCACTGGGAGTAGAACTAAGATAATGGAAAAGTATGTGATTTAGCAGAGAAAGTGGAGATGGCGGGTGCTAGTTTGATGACCCTAGATCCGAGGCGCATCTTTGAGGAACGGTCCCGCGTGAAGCGTCAGGCTCTATAGCACGAGTGGCGGTATCACAGCCAGTACTAAACTAGTATCCAGCTGGTGAAGCAGCCACCACATAAAATGCACAATTCTGACCGATTACGTAATGCATGCACGACTGCTGAACACAGATGGTGTAACGGAGTGAGCCTGTTACGTGCAATTAGCATTAATACTTGTTCGTTAGACTATTATCATAAAGACTGGCAATGCTCGTGATTATTACAATAAGGGGTAACATTCCGAAGCACTCACCGATTGGCCGATATGGGCCATCATATCAGCCAATTCTAGCAATCAACGATAGACGCGCGCAATGAGTGGTGAGCAAGACTTTAGCATACACTTTTGTCGATGAATGTAATTAAGTTAAGACTGAACGAGGTCCATGCATTTAGGACTTAGTTACATTAAACATTTTTACTTTCTACTCCTATTGAACGCGTCGTTTAATAACCAGCCTTCCTCTGCACGTACAGTGTAACGGGGCACCCTGAAGCTTGTACTGGTGACAGTACAAGCTACTTATTCTGATAACAGAATAAGGCGGTGCCTCGTAACTTCACGTACACTCGTACGTGCAGAGGAAGACGGTAAGAAGAAGCGAGTACTCGGTTAGAGTAAAAAGTAGAACTGTATTTATAATAGTTAATGTCTGCAATAAATCACTATTTATCTTCATCTAACTATGTCTAAATACAAATGTGTAAATCAGTTATCTGCTCACCACTCATTGCGTGCGTCTGTCGTGGCGCGTCTTCGTTGGTTGATATAATGGCCTATATCAACCGATTAGGAACTACTTGGAAGTGCTATAGAATATTGTCCTTATGACAATATTCTGAGAATATAACTCTTATAGTTATATTCTATTAACAATTTCTTATAAATTGTTATGTAACGATTCACCCCGTTACATCACCCCCCTTAACCATCAGTCACTTTAGTGACTGATTGACTAAATGGATACTCGTCCCAAATCATTTGGGACGGGGTTTGCACTTGTTGGTCCGCGTCCACTTTCCAACATCTCATCGCATGGTAAACAAGCCCATGCGATGCGCGAGCAAGGCCGCCGAGAGCGCGTCTGCACGTCTCTGTGCGGACGCCGAAGCAGAAACTACAGCAACTGATGTCCCATCGGTTGCTGAATCGACTCAGCCTGTATCACCTGGTGATGCAGGCGCTGGTCATGAAGACACTCGTGTCTTCACAGAGTACGAGCTCGGTGTCTCGTACTCTCCTGATACGGATGACGGATCCGTATCGACGGCAATTGAATCCAAGCCGCCTGCCAAGCGTGGCATGGACGATGCTTTGCGTCGCAGCATCTTTGGTTCATCTGATGAGTCAGATGAACCATCGCCGAAGCGAAGGCGCTCGAGGTCGCGAGACTCGGGCGCTAATAGTGGTGTCGTTTCTCCAATGGACACCACTTCACAGCGAGGTGCCAGTACTTCTGTCGGCACGTCGCAGGAAGAGCGGGACCGCAATGTGTTGCGTCTCGCTCCAGAAAAGAAGGCATGGATGCCTCCTAAAACTGTCATGGATCACTTGTCGGCGACGACGAGTGATCGTTATCGAACACGATTGTTCGATTCGTCGAGGATTCATCACCTTGACCCCAGCGCGAAAGACTATCGCGCTGAACATGAGTTCTTCATCGATGCTTTCTTCAGACATCGATGGTACAGTGGGAATCACAAACGTGATGGTCCCTCACTACTTCAGGCGTGGAACGCCTACATCCATAATCTCGAGGATGTAGGTCGTGACGCTTGGAACGACAAACTTATCAAAGCTCGTGATAAGTTTGAAAAGCGAACCCCGACAGGTGCACGCTATAAGCTGCATCGTCTGTCAAGGGAGAAAGGATTACCCTGCCTCTCTTGGGGAGACTCGTGCCCATGTTGTGTGAACAACTCTGCACGAGCACCTAAGGAGGCTTACCTCCTTACCAGCCCGTGGTGGCGCGTACGTGTCTCTACTGAGATGTACGAAGGGATTGACAACCTGAAATCCCTTTACGACCGTGCCGGGAAGACTTTCTCCGGCGGTCCTTCTGCGGCACAGGATGTGTCGCGTCGTACTGCTCGACCAGACCCAGTACGTCAACCATCAATTGGGAGCGGGGCTCCCAAGAATCCCAGGACGGGGGATAGCCGCGCCACCGGACGAGGTAACTCGTCCGACGTCCGTTCACGTCGCGGTGGTTCAACAGCTGCTCTACTAGATAGCGCTGGCCACCGCGAGAGTCCTCTAATGGAGGTGGAGGAGGAGGAAAGACGCTCTCCACACGATCATGTGGATCGGTGTGTTCCCGAGAGCTTCTTTGATCGCGTAACGCAAGGGTTACGCGACGATCTCGAGCATGAGCGGAATAGGCGTCTCCAGATGGTGGACACTGCCTCGAAGCATCGAGCTGAGTTTGCCTTTGCTCAGCTTGAGAACGAGAGATCTCTGACATCTCTTCGTGACGAGCTAAGGGTAGCTCGTGGGATTGTTGATCGGTCTCGGGCTGAGATAACTGCTCTTCAGACCCTTGTTGATGCCCACCATCGGGAGCACAAGGCTCTCTGCGAGATGCTTGAGCGCAAGGGCGTTCTTCATCGGAAGAAGCAGCGTACTGATGGTACGGCTTAAGCCGACCAACGTAAAACGTGGGATGCGTTCGCATCTTACGTGGTAACTCGATCGTGTATGCATTGCCTAGGCGGTGCAATACACGAAATGGGCCAATGTACTTGGGTAGTAGTTTACTGCTACCCAAGTTAGTCACTACATGTTTTGGTAGATTAACCGTAGACAGTAGGACTAAGTCACCTTTATTAAATAAAAGAGTGTTTGCCCTTCCATTCTTGTCAGCGTTTTGCTTTTGCTTATCCACCGCTTCGGCGATGGAGTCTTGCACAAAACGGACTACCGTTTCACGAGCCAGTATGAACTCATCTGATGACTCGTTAGCTTCAGTGTGCTGTGAGCGCACTGCAGCGACAACAACCTTTTCTTCAGTGAGGGCTTCCGCACTCTCACTGGGATCATTGTCTTCAGTGAGGGCTTCCCGCACTCTCACTGGCATCATCTTCTTCGATATCGATGTTATCGATATCGGCATCAAACGCAATGACTTCTTCGTCAGAGCGTGATGAGCGTGAACCAAATCGGTTTTTGCTCGCGCGAGTCCCTCCCCCCTTAAACCAGAGTTACACTCTAGTAAGGTGGGTACACGCGGATGGCGCAAGCCATTCACGTAAAACGGTGTATGTGTCGTGGACGCATGCACCGAGTTGTTGATGGCAAACTCTACCATTGGCAAAAACTCACTCCAACTTTTAAAGGAGTGTACGTATCCTCGAAGTATCTCTTCGAGGACACGGTTGGCACGTTCCGTCTGACCATCTGACTCTGGATGATCAGATGTTGACATCTTCAAGCGCGTTCCGAGTGATTTGAACACGGAACGCCAGAAATCAGCAGTGAATCGTGGATCTCTGTCTGAAACGAGTTCACGGGGCAACCCATGAAGTCGGAAGATGGTGTCAATAAAGACACAAGCACAGCCACTTGCCGTGATTGTCTCTGGTACAGCCACAAGGTGTACCATTTTGCTGAATCTGTCAACAAATACGAGAATACCCGTATTCCCGCGTGCGTCTTTGGGTAACCCGAAGACGAAATCCATTGAGATGGATTCCCAGCACTCAGCCGGAACCGGTAGAGGCTGTAAAGGTGCACGCAGTGAAGGACTTGACTTCACTCGTTGGCAGACTTCGCATGCGCGAACATACTTTCGCACAAACTGATACTGGCGGGGCCAGTAAAAGTCTCGACTTACCGTGAGATATGTTTTCTCTCGGCCACGATGTCCTCCTATAGGAGCATCGTGATACTCGAACATGATCCGCAAACGCAGATCAGTATCATCTGGAATGACAACACGTGGTGTGTCACCAGAAACGGCTGTATAGTACAGTAAACCGTTACGAGTAGTGTATCGATCTGATGCAGATCGATACGCAGACGACAATCGTTTCAACGATTCTCGAGATGGTTGGGAGAGATGTGACAACAACTTCACTATCTCACCATCTTGGGCGTATGCCCGCCTCACCTCATCATACAACGTTTTAGATGGAACTGAGGACGTCATAACCGCAACAGTGACTGTCTCACTGTTGGGTTTCGCGACTGTTTCAAAGTCGGGACGACGTGAGAGTGCATCAGCGACGACATTAAGTCGTCCTGGTTTGTACTCGACCGTAAAGTTGTATTCTGCAAAGAATGACAACCACCGCGCCATTCGTTGTGAAAGGTGCGGGCTGTTCACTGCCGTGCGTAAGGACGCATGGTCAGTGTAAACAACGAAGGGTCTATCTCCTAATAGATAGACTCTGAACTTCGCGAGTGCATACTTCATGGCAAGGAGTTCCTTGTCATGCACTGGATAGTTCCGCTCAGCTGGTTGCAGCTGACGCGACTGATAGCAGACGACGCGTTCAACGCCTTCAAGGTCGTACTGCATTAATGCACAGCCGATTGCGAAATCGCTGGCATCACAGACCACATGAAATGGCCTGTCCTGATCGGCTATTGCTAGGACTGGGGATTGTATCAAGCTCTGCTTGATACCCTCAAAGGAGCGTTGACATTCAGCGTTCCATAACCACCTCTCGTTCTTTTTCAACAAACGAGAGAGGTGTACAGTCATCTCGGCGTAATTGCGTGAATACTTATGCAAATACGCCGCTAGCCCAAGGAATTTTCGAAGACCTTTGACATCGACCGGCACGGGCCAGTCGGTGATCGCCTTGATCTTTTCGGGATCAGGACGTACACCGTTCTTACCAACGATGCACCCAAGAAGTGGTATTTCGCTTGCTGCAAATATACACTTCTTGAGGTTAGCATACAATTGATGCTTTCGCATGATTGTAAGAACTTGTCGGACGTGGTACCTGTGAACCTCAACGTCCGACTTTCCATCCATAGCTCGACTATGGATGAATACGTCATCGAAATAACTCGGCGCGAACTCTCGTATTGGCCTCAACAGATGTGATACACATCTGTTGAACGTGGCAGGGGCATTACTGAGCCCTTGTGGCATTACTAGCCATTCCCAGAGCATGCCGCTAGGCGTGCTAACTGCGGTATAGGGTATATCCCGTTCCCGCATTAGGATTTGATAGAAGCCATCCATCAAATCCATGGACGAAAAGATGGTACTCTTTGACATACCATCAATGATTACGTCCTTCCTCGGTATCGGCGTCTGAGCCGGTACCGTTGCAGCGTTCAATTTGTTAAACGCGTGCACTATCCGCCACCCTCCTGTTGCTTTTCGCACACAGAAGGTCGGAGAGCTATGTGGGGAAGTTGATTCCCTCACATGGCCCGCTGCTAAACGATCGGCAAAGAACTTGTCGATCGCAAGTACTTGTTCACGAGGCAGTGGCCACTGCTTCATGACACAGTACTTCGAGCCTGGTTTAAGCTCGACTTCGTGTCGAATACCTTTATCCTTCGGTAATTCGCACGGAACAGTTTCAGGGAATACATCCTTGAATTCAACCAAATCCTCATAGAGAGGGTTTTCCTTGAGCGATTCCCATGATTGGGACTCATATCGCTCAATTCGTGTCTTTTCATCTAGGACACTCTCGTCCATAGATGAACTACTGAGAACTCTCTCGTTCTCAGTAAACACTGTTGCTGACCTTATGTCGGTTACACACTCGTCGTCAGCGACGAGTATGCAGATCTGCTTGACTTTGCCACTACGCAGATCACGCAAGAACCTTTTATGTTCGAGCGTTGGCAACTGAGTGATCTCCGAAGTTAACTTCGGAGGCGCAATCAGATCAAGTGTATAAGCGCCTACACATGATCCGTTATTGACTATGACATTCAATGTCTCTGTCATTTCCTGGGGACTTATTCCCTCAGGCTTCGAAGGACTTATTCCTTCGTCTTCCCGGGGACTTATTCCCGCGGGTTTCGGGGAACTTATTTCCGCCGTATTTGTAATCTTGGGACTTATTCCCTTTACTTCCTCTAGCTGGGGTTGCGCAACCACAGCGAGATCCTCTACGAAAGACTCTCCAGTCGATCTAGGATTATCGTTTCGCTTAACCTGAGCGATCGATTGTTTCTCTTCTAGATGTTCCCCTCTAGGGATACATCTTTGTCCCAGTCCACCCGACTTATTCGAGTGGTGGACCTTCGGCGCAGCCTGTGTTTCCTCACAGCCGCCGGAACTTTGCTCCGAAGTGTAACCGTTTGGTACACTAAGGTTTTGTGCAGTCGTACTAACGACCGTACCACAAGTGAGGCCATCGCACTCACTCGTAGTACATCCACACGCTTGTGGACGCCCAAAACGTTCATCAGATGGCCATCTGATGAACAAGCGGCAGGCATCGTTACTGTCCGATGTTGCCAGTTTACCCGTGGTTCGTACCTTCTGAGCCACGGTATTCCAAGGATGACATCAAATTTGTCATCCAAATCCAATACGATAAAGTCATCGTCGTATTGGGTATCTTCTAGCGTATAGTGAATCTTCACTATACGCTTCATGACGGTTACGGATGCGCCTGTCGCAAGACGTACCGTCATCCTCGTAGGAGGTGTGTCACATTCACTGAATTTAAAGTGACCATCTTCTAGCGATTGGCGTCGCACAAAATTGTTGGACGCCCCACAATCGACTAGAGCTCGAAGGGACAACTTATTCGTCACTTCGAGTTTCAAGGTAATGAGTGAGATCTCATTACCTAGAGCAGCAACGCACAATGTCTGTGTGTGTGGGGGGAGCAACCTTTTTTAAGAGGCCTACAAATTCTCTTGACGTTGCTGGATCAGTAGGGTGCTCCGCACCTACTGATCCTGTCCGTTTTTTGACGGTCCATCCCGTTGTTGCGTCTTTGCACCAACTGCGGACCCTCGTCCCTGCCCCTTTCTCATGGGTGGACGGTCACTACGCCCAGTGTCGCGAGACACTGGACGAGGGGCACTACACTCGTAAGCGTAGTGTCCTGTCTTTTGACATCTGTTGCATCTCTGCAACTTCTTGTAGCCTGTAGAGCGAGCCTTCTCGCTCTCTACATAACAGAGTTCCATCGGCTCTGGACCTCCGTTGTCATATCGTCTCGTTGTCATATCGTCTCGGTTGACGATATGATGTCGAGCTGGCGCGAGCCTGTCTCAGACTGAAGTCTTCCTGCTCCGCAATTGAAATGGCTTGTTCTAGTGAATCTAGTTCAAGCCGGAACAGGTGAGTCTTGACGGGACCATCCGCAAGACCCTGCATGAACACCGAAACCAACGTGTGTTCATCCACCGGATTGGAACTTATACAACTCGTGAGATGTCGTATATGTTGAGCGTAAGCGTGCACATCACGCTTACCCTGCTTGAGCTTCAAGAGTTCGGTTCGAGCTCTGAACTCAGCTCTAGGCGGTTCAAACGTTTGTCTGAGCCGCGACTTGAAGACTTCCAACGACCCAAACGCATATGGGTCGTGCAGCTTGAGCCCCAGTGCCCAAGTCTTGGCACGTCCTGCCAGATTTGACTGGGCAAATGCAACTTGCATATCCCCGTCGTCGATGCGACGCGCCCTTATGGCGTCATCCAATTCGACGAACCATCTCAAGAGGGAGTCTTCTTCGACCCCCCTATACTTTGAGATGTCAATCTTCAAAGTCTCGGGCCGACGCGAGTGCATCGACCCGCCAGCAGCAGCCTGCTGCTGTCTCAACAGTTCAAACTGTTGAGCACCTTGTTCTCTCAACAACTCTGCTTGTTGAGAACCTTGTTGGTGAAGCAAGGCTACTTTCTCGCGTTCTGCGTCAAGTTCATTTTGAATGAACTTGGCGATAGTAGCATGTTGGGCATCTCTATTGAGAGCCTCTAGCATGACGCTAACAGCATGGATGCCCATGGTCGAACCCATTCGTTCAACCGCATCCCATTCGACATCGCTCAAATGGGAGTAGCCGTCACGCGTAGCGTGAAAGCTTTGGTCATCTTCATCATCCAACATATTCATGTTGGATGTGAACGCGGTCCTTGGAAGGACTACGAAGTGCTACCAGGTGTAACGGGGCACCCTGAAGCTTGTACTGGTGACAGTACAAGCTACTTATTCTGATAACAGAATAAGGCGGTGCCTCGTAACTTCACGTACACTCGTACGTGCAGAGGAAGACGGTAAGAAGAAGCGAGTACTCGGTTAGAGTAAAAAGTAGAACTGTATTTATAATAGTTAATGTCTGCAATAAATCACTATTTATCTTCATCTAACTATGTCTAAATACAAATGTGTAAATCAGTTATCTGCTCACCACTCATTGCGTGCGTCTGTCGTGGCGCGTCTTCGTTGGTTGATATAATGGCCTATATCAACCAATTAGGAACTACTTGGAAGTGCTATAGAATATTGTCCTTATGACAATATTCTGAGAATATAACTCTTATAGTTATATTCTATTAACAATTTCTTATAAATTGTTATGTAACGATTCACCCCGTTACATACAGTGTACGTGAAGTAACGCGCGACACTACCTACACTGTTGTCAGTGTAGGTGTACTAGTACTGTAGCAGTACAAGTGGTTAACGCCCCGTTACATCAATTAGTAGCACTTTGGAGTCCGTCCAAGGACCGCAACCCCTACACCCAACATGAACATGTTGGATGATGATAATGACAGCTTTCACGCCAAGCGTGAAAGCTACTCCTATTTGAGTGACATCGAATGGAGTGCGGTCAGACGAATGGGTTCAACCGTGGGCGAACATGCCGTCTCTGCCATGCTGTCCGTACTAGACGGAGATGGGCAACGTGCTGCCGTACACAAGTTCATACGACATGAACTTGACGAGTAACGGGAGAAAGTAACCTTCCGTCACCAGCAATATTCTCAACATGCAGATGTTGATAGAGCAGAACACGTAACAGTTCGAACTGTTGGGACAGCAGCAGGCACATGCTGCTGTTCCCGGGGTGACGCACGCGTGTCGACCCGAAACTATAAAGATAGACATCTCAAAGTACAAAGTAGTCGAGAAGACTCCCTGCTAAGATGTTTCGCCGAGATGGACGACGCCATAAGGGCTCGTCACATCATCATTGATCAATTGCAAGTCGCATTTGCTCAGTCTAACCTGGCTGGACGTGTAACGGGGCCACACTACCATTGGCTAAATTGGTCAAAGACCTCCCCTAATTAATATGGATGAATGTGTGTGACCTTAGATTTTATATCAGCAAGAGAATATCAATTGATCGATATTTCCAGGTTTACGGTACTGACCGTGTACGTACTTTGTACCGTCATCATTTGATGATTAAGTGATGTGCCAACCATCCGTTTGGTTCGAATACTAGTATTTGTATTAGTTCTAGTTTAGTAAAATATAGGGTACTTGAAGTAGGATTTTCCTTGATATTATATCCAAATTAAAGTTCAGTTCTCATTTTGAGCAGAAGTCCCTAGACACCTCCCTTCGCACATTGTGCCCTGCAGTTCCTTAGAACTGCTGTAGCTTAGATAGTCCTTAGACTCCTACTACCCTGCACATTGTGCTTTTGGTTCTCTTAAAGTACACAGTAGCTGAGCTGTTAGCTCGTAGAGTCCACCCGAGTTCCGCAGAACTGGGTGACTCTTTACCTTGATATCTATTAGTTCCGTAGAACTAACATGCTATATATATTCATTCCGTAGAACTAATAGGCTGTCAGCCGTAAGCCGTTGGCTTATTTAATAAGTCTTCCTCTGACGAAAAGAGCTGTTTAGATCCGCTACAGGACGTGCCAAACCCTGGGCGTTAGGGCTCAAGTTTCACGACCCATATGTGTTTGGGTCGTTGGAGGTATTCAAGACTCGGCTCAGACAAACTATTGATACGCCAAAGTTCAGGACTCGATCAGAGCTCTGAAACTCAATCAGGTTAAGCATTATGTGCACACTTATGCTGATACATTGGACTTCTTGCGAGTTGTATCACGGCCGACCGGGTTCATAAAAACACATCGATCACTATGTTCATGCAGGGTCTTGCGGATGGTCCCGTCAAGACTTACCGGTTCCGCTTGGAGCTGGATACTCTAGAAGAAGCGATATCAGTTGCGTAATAGAAAGACTTTAGCTTGAAACAGGCTCACGATAGTTCGGGTTCATATCGTCCCCCACGACAACAAGAAGTCGAAGGTCCAGAACTTATGGACATCTGTTTTGTTGCGAGCGAGAGACCTTGCTCTTCAGCCAATAAGCGTCAGAAGTTGGGACACTACGCTTACGAGTGTAGCGCCCTACGCCCATTATTCAAAACGCTGAAGGAACTAATCGACCATTTGCTAAGAAGGTCAGAGGACACGGGTTCAACGTTGTTGCTAAATTGCAACAGCGTAGCGGACCGTAAAAATCGTCAAGATCAGTAGGGGCGGAGCGCCCTGTTGATTCAGCAAGCTCAAGAGAATGTAAAAACCTCTTGATGAAAGTTGCTCCGGACTCACAATCACTGTGTGTCTTTGCACTTGGTGTCGAGATACCCCTTATCACCTTAAAGTTGGATCATGACAAAAGTGTGTCACTTCGTGCCCTAGTAGACTGTGGGGCGTCGAACAAGTTTGTTCATTGCCATTCGCTAGAGGATAGAAGACGCAATCTTGTCGAGCGCGATATCCCTCCGATGAGGATAACGGTGTGTCTAGTTACAAGCGCATCCGTAAGGGTAAAAAAACGTGTAGTAAAAATCCACTGCACGCTAGAAGGAAAGCACTACGATGATGAATTCATTCTACTTGATTTTGACGACAAATTTGATGTCATCCTCGGTCTGCCATGGATTAGAAAGAACGGGCCATGGTTCAGCTGACAGCATCGATCCATAAAGATGCCTGCCGTTTGTTCATCAGATGGCCATCTATTGAACGTCTTTGAGCGTCCACAAGCGTGCGGATGTACTACGAGTGAGTGAGATGGCCTCACTTGTGTTACGGACGTTAGCATGACTGCACAAGATCACAGTGTAGGAGGCCGCTACACTGTGGAACCAGCATCCGGAACCTGTGCAGAGACACACGATGCGCCGAAGGCTCACCACTCCAAGAGATCGAGTGGACTGGAACGTGAATGCACACCAAGAAGGGTGCGTCCAAGAAGAGAGATCAACTAACAGAGAGTCGATCGTAGAGCAAACCCGATCAACTAAAAGAAAGTCGATCGAAAAGGACGTGAATGTGGTAGTTCACCCATTATTAGTGCACGTATTGGAAAAAGTTCCAGCGTTCTCGAGAGTGATAGCTTTCTAGAGAGTTATGTTGAGGGTGTGGATCCTTAATTACCTGCGAATTTGTTTTTCCAGGAAATCACCGAGACGTTGAATGTTTTGGTGAATGACGGATCAAGTGTAGGCGCTGTTACACTTGATCTGATTATACCTTCGCAGTCAGCTTCGGATGTTATCAAGCTGCCAACGCTAAAATCCAAAAATTCCTTGCGAGATATGCGTAGCGACAAGATCAAGCAGATCTGCGTACTCTTTTTAAAGGACGAGTACGGCGCCGATATTCGGTCGGCACAATTGTTTACTGAGAACGAAAGGGTTCTCAGTAGATCATTGACGGATGGGGGTGTCCTCGATGAGAAGTCCCGGATCGAGCGATACACGTCTTAATCTTGGGAGTCATTGAAGACAAATCCTTTGTGTAATGATTTAATCGAATTCAGGGATGTTTCCCGGAATCCGTGCCATGCGAGCTGCCCAAGGACAAAGGCACTCGGCATGAGATCGAAGTGAAACCCGGTTCAAAGTACTGTGTCATGAAGCAATGGCCACTGCCTCGTGAACAGGTCACACCGATCGAGAAATTCTTTACCGATCGTTTAGCGGCTAGTCATGTGAGGGAATCAACATCCCCACACAGCTCTCCGACCTTCTGTGTGCGAAAGGCCACGGGAGGGTGGCGGATAGTGCACGCGTTAACAAATTGAATGCTGCAACGGTACCGGCTTGAACGCCGATCCCAAGAAAGGATTTCATCATAGATGGTGTGGCAAAGAGTACCATCTTTTCGTTCGTGGATCTGAGGGATGGATCCTAAGAGATCCTCATGCAGTAACCTGACATCCCGTACACAGAAGTGAGCACCCCCAGTGGTATGCTCTGGGAGTGGCTAGTGATGCCACAGTGGATAAATAACGCCCCTGCAAGGTTTAACAGATGTGTTACAAACCTGTTGCGATCGGTGAGCGATTTCGCATCGGGCTACTTTGATGATGTCTTTGTCCGTAGCCGGACTATGGATGGAAAAACGGACGTAAAGGTTCAGAAAATCCACGTCCGGAAGGTTCTTACTCTAATGCAAAAGCAAAAGTTGTTCGCGAACCTGAAGAAGTGTATAATCGTAGCAAACGAAATATCACTTCTTGGCTACATCGTGGGTATAAACGGTGAGCGCCCTTATCCGGAAAAGATCAAGGCGATTAGCGACTGGCTTGTGCCAGTCGACGTCAAGGGACTTCGAAAGTTCCTCGGCTTGGCGGCGTACTTGCACAAGTACTCGCGCAACTACGCCAAAATGGCCGTACATCACTCTCGTCTGTTCAAGAAAACGAGAGATGGTCATGTTGTGCTGATTGTCAGCACTCCTTTGAAGGTATTAAGAAAAGCTTAATACAATCGCCTGTGTTAGCAATTTTATACCAGGGCAGACCATTCCGTGTGGTCTGTGACGCCAGAGATTTTGCAATCGGCGGCGCGTTAATGCAGTACGACTCAGATGGGTTGAGCGCGTCGTCTGTTATCAATCGCGTCAGCTGCAAGCAGCTGAGCGTAATCACCCAGTGCATGACAAATGAATACTTGCCGTGACATATAAACTGGCTAATTTTCGGGTAAATCTATAAGGAGATATACCCTTCATCGTTTAAACCGACCATGCGTCGTTGCACACGGCCGTAAACAGGCCACACCTCTCGCAACGAAAAGAGAGGTGACTGTGATTCTTCGCGGACTACAACTTCTCCGTCGAGTATAAACCAGGACGACTTAATGTCGTCGCTGATGCTCTTTCGCGTCGGCCCGATTTTGGGCCGACTGTTTTACATAACAGTAGGGGTGATCTCACTGTAACGACACTAACATTGAGCGTTCCATCGTCGAATCTACTCGACGACGTGCGAAAAGCATACGCAGAAGATGAGTCTCTTCTTCGGTTGATAGATTACGCATCTAATCCGTGTAGTCAAGCTTTGAAAAGCTTGAAGTCTCAATACCGCTCTTCAATCGAACGGCGTTCGGTTCGTGATGGACTGCGGTACTATACAGCAGTCAACGGCGACACACTTTGTGTCGTCGTTCCCGCTCATAATGATTTGCGATTGCGTATCATGTATCTGTGTCACGATGCACCAACAAGTGAGAATCGCGGTAGGGAAAAGACTTACCTCACGGTGAGGCGTGCATTCTATTGGCCCCGCCAGTATGAGTTTGTGCGGAAATACATTCGTGCTTGCGAAGTTTGTCAACGAATGAAGCCTAGTCCTTCATACCGCGCGCCCTTGCAGCCTCTACCGATTCCATAAGAGTGTTGACAGTCCGTATCGATGGACTTCGTCTTTGAATTCCCAAGACGCTTACAAGAATACTTGTATTCTTGTGTTTGTTGGTCGGTTCAGCAAAATGGTACATCTTGTTACTGTACCAGAGTCAATCACAGCCCAGGGCTGTTCTCGTGTCTTCATTGATACTTTCTTCCGACTTCACGAGTTACCCCATGAACTCGTTTCCGATAGGTCCCCCGCTTTAAGGCGGAGTTCTGGCAATCCGTATTCCATTCACTTGGAACACGTTTAGAGACATCGACTTCTGACCACCCAGTTACAGTTGGTCAGACGGTACGCGCCAACCGTGTCCTCGAAGAGATACTTCGAGGGTACGTCCACTCTATTACGAGCTGGACTGAGTTCTTGCCGATGGCGAGTTCGCTATCAACAACTCGGTGCATGCGTCGACAACGCGTACACTGTTCTTCGTGAATGGCCTACGCTATCCACGTTTACCCGCCTTTTAAGAGTGTGAATCTGTATTAAAAGGGGGGGATGGACTCGCTCGAACAAAAACGATCTGGTTCTTTTTCATCACCCGTCTACAATGGTGTCGACGTGATGGATGCCGATGTCGATGCAATCGATATCGTTCATGAAGATGAAGACGATGCTGTTATATTCAGCATCGTCAATTACTGCCATAGTGACGACGATGATGCCCTCACTGGTGAAGACAAATTTTTTCAGTAGTGCACACGAAGCGCACTGCTGCTGACAAGGATAAATCAGCAGAGGGATTTCTGCTGACTCGCGAAGCGGTTATCCGCTTCGTTCAAGACTCTATTGCAGATGCACTAGACAGAAAAAAAGAAACGCAGACAAACATGGAAGAGCAAATGTTCTTTCATATGATGAAAAAGACCTGGTTTTACTGTCGTCAGTAAACCTACCAAAACACGCAGTGACAAACGTGGGTAGCAGTAAATTACCACCCAAGTATATCGGTCCATTTCTTGTGTTGCGCCGAATGGGCAACGCGAACACAATCGAACTGCCCCGTAAGATACGTACGCATCCTATGTTTTACGTTGGACAACTCCGCCCGTAATATCAGTACGATCCCGTTTCGAGATGCGAAGAACACCTCCGTGGTCAAGAGTCAAGGCCTTCTTCGAGTGGTCCCGGTTCACCGAGCCAGTCTGGTCGACTAGCGAAGCGACCTGCTTACGCAGTTGAGCGGTGTCTCGGCTGCAGACAGCTCGTCACGAAAAGAACGAGTCGATTGTTCGTTTTCAAGTTGCGCAAACGCAAACGCGGCACGACCGTTAGGACAATCGTGCGTTAAGGAATTGTATTTATCCCTTACAAGATCCTCAAGCTCAAAACGACGAGTCCTTTCATGATCCAAATCATCGTGTGACTGTTCCGTTACACGGTTCAGTTCCTGAACATCAAGCTAATTCGACCCTCGAGCCGGATCAGGTGTTTCCGCCACCAGCACCAATACATCCTTCGCTAGATTTTGGCGGTGGTCAACGCTTTCTGGTGAAGCGTATCTTGAACCACCGCGACGTGAATGGAGTCTGGACGAGTTACCTCGTCCGCTGGTGTGGCTATCCACCGGCCTGGGACACCTGGGAGCCTCGTGCCCAGCTTATTGCTGATTACCTTGGTCTCGTCGAGCAACATGACGAGACCCACCTGCTGCGTTCGAAGAAGGGCCGTCGAAAAACGACCTGATCGAACGCGAGTACAGGGATTGCAAAGGGTCAATCCCTTCGGCCATCCCAGAAGAGATGCGCGCCCTCCCGTAAAGATCATTAGGAAGGAAAGTCTCCCTAGGGGCACGGTTCGAGTTGTCCAGGCAACTTGGACACGAATCACCTCACGAGAGAAAGGGTAATCCCGCCTCTTGACAGACGGTGCAAATTGTATCGTATACCGACCGGGTTGCGTTTCTCAAACCTGATGCGAGCTGTACCGAGTTTACCGAGCCAGACGTCACGGCCAATGCACTCGATGTTATCGATGAGGTCATTCTATCCTTGCACCGAGGCATTACCATCTCGAACATGGCTGCCATTGTACCATCGATGTTCGAAAAATGCATCGATGAAGAATTCTTCCTCAACACGGATAGTTTTCATGCTGGAATAACGTGGGCATATCTTCCTAAAATCGAACAACGGGATTTAATTCCGATCGGTAGTCATGCCGGCCAACTGGTCCAACTCCTTGGATTACGGCATCCAAGGAGACTCCACTTGAGGAGCGTGGCGCAGGACATTTCGGTCCCTGGCCTCTTGATTGGTGTCAGCATAAGCACTGACACCAGCGACAGCTCGATCTCTCGAGTTACTTCGCTCATGGTGATGTATAGGTGCATCACCACCATCTCCACGCATCCTATCGCTGAATGGACTCGCGTGAACCGAGGATTCGTCGGAATATTCGCTTAATCCGAAGATATCGAGCATGAAGCCGCTACGTTGACCTGAGCCAGTCAACCTGGCTCTTGCAGTATCCGCCCCGGATGATCCGGAGGCATGCGATGTCGCCTTTGCGTCGAATACATCATCCGACTCGCCAGAATAGATGAACTCTATTTCAGACTCATATGGATTACGATTCGCGGTATCCGCTGCAGACGCAGCGGATGTACCTGTCGCACGTGGTGACTCACCACGTGGACTGTTCACAGCAGCAGGCAACAAATCACCTGCTGCTGAGGTGTGAGAGGCACTTTCCGCGGCTGCACGCATGCGTGCAGCAGCCTTACTTGTTGCTGTAGTAGCAACTCGCTTCGGTTTTAAAACCATGCTTTGGATTGGCAAATGAGTTAAAATTGACCGACAAGTGCTCCCTTCCCAGAGTGATCAAACAGTGGTCACCCCGTCCTCAATCAATGTAGTATAATTACCAGGTTTGTTGATGGTCAAAGGGGGATGATGTAACTGCGTATCCCATTACATGATATTGACACTAAACGGTGTCAATTGGAAGATTGCCCAGCGTGACAATCTTCCTCCGAATACTACCCAGGGGAAATTGTATAGAAGTAATACTATCACTTAAAATATTATTCACGTGCTGCTAAAGGATTAGTTGATAAAGAGGACACATCATATGAGGTTATCACCAATCTCTGCTATAAGCTTGTAATGAGTGGTGAGCAGGTTGTCGTCACACGTTAATGTTGGTTAAAATAGTTAGATAAAGACTGAAAATGCATGGATAGCTTTACTGTATTAAGTACGCTTCTCATTATAACCTTAACGCAATCCAGTTGTTGAGTAGATTAGCTTCCTCTGCACGTACTAGTATACGTGAAGTTTCGTGGCACCCTAAACAAAGGGTGCCCCATTACACCAGTGAGGTTATTTTTGAGAACGTTTTCTGTTTCACGACTACCAAGTTTTTTTCTGTTGTCGTTCAGCATGATAAAAGCCAGGATTGGCAGTCGTAAAATCGAATTGATTGTCAGGATATGGGGTCATTTCTACATTGGCATGTCCGTCTTTGTATAGACTTTACTCGTCAATGATTAGGTTAGGTAACCAGTTGCATGAAAAATCCACAGAAAGTACACTTCGTAGACAACGTGTTCAAAGTCCAGACCAAGATCGTACCTAATTTTCGCATTTTCATTATCTCATTGATTTGTCAAATACTTGAAGCCATTCTTCGACCTAAAGAGTGAAGCCATGATGATTGTCGATGCGAGTGAATCGGCAATTTCGGCGTCAATGGTACATTTACATGAAGGACTGCTTATGTGAGTACCATTTACAAGCCGAACCTTTAAGCCTAGAAAGCCAAATTACAGCACCGTGAAGAATTTAGAGTTAGTCTATTCTCGTACGCTTAAGACATGCTTCGCCGTATGGTCACCCGGGACCTCAAAGTCTTTACAAGATATGCGACATTTTCATGTTAAATATAAATTGCTTGCTTGCAAGGCACTTGGAAATTGGGGCTTTATCTCATAAAAATGGACCTTGGAGATCTTGGAGTGTAAAAAGGTGTTGTTTAGGTGCTGGGAGCGCTATAAGCCAGTAGTACCCCTCGAGAGAGTCCGGAATAAATACTGTTGGACGTTGCCCTTAAGAAGCAGGCGAGGCGGAGGAATGACCTACCTACCGACCGTAAAACTAGATGAAGAAGTGTACGTGATAAGTTTCTATGAGTCAGACTGTGTTAGAAAGGAGGGATGGCTTGTTGCGCTATCTCAATAAGACCCCCAGCATGGACCATAGTCGAAGCTGATCCAAACAAATTGACACGTCTGCGGTGAATGATACACAATATATGCGGGTATGCTGCTAGAGTATTCTTTCTGAAACCATTGAAGCGACATAATTGATTATCTGGGGAGACTGCAGTTTAGTGGTGCGGCTTAAGCGAGGGGAGAATGAGTGTGAGGCTTCGGGTATGTCCCTGCTACGAACCGGTCTTTGTGTGAACTCCAAGCTTTTGGTCCTTCACGGGATTTTACATCTGAAACGAAATCGCAATAAGAACGCGGGTCGGTTGTCTAGTACAGCTTCGCACCAGCACAAGGGTATCTGGTCGTTGTCGAGTGAAGAATGAATTAGTTTGGAAGCAATCAATCGTCTAACGGAGATGCTAGTTACTAGACCTTAAATATATCTCGACTATAACGCTTGCGGCAATTAGTTTGCGGTCTCCCATTAAGATTTACGGGTAGATCAAGCAAGAGGAGGTAGTACAAAGACTCTCCGATTACCGAATTAAAAGGTTCAAGAAGAGAGTAGCTATATGCGAGATTTAAAAGCATTTTTGAAGGTTGACTGGAAGGATATGCTCAAGCCGATCGAGATCAGGTCCAGAAGCCTAAGCGATTCGGCTAGCTACAAGTTGGTGCTGGCTGAATCGCTCGTGGAATGATATCCACCTATTTTGGATGTCACCGTTTGGAGAACCGAACGGGATAAACCCCATCTAATCCGCATGGCCCCAGACTGTAAAATGATTAAAAAAAAGTGCAATGGGGGAAAACGATCGAGGGACCGCGATCAGAGGACCGCGATATAGGGAACGCAATTGGAGGACCTCGATCAGAGGACCTCGATCAAGGGACCACGATCTGGCGTGGTCCACGTGATAGGGACTGAATGCAAATCCATTCGGCATGGAGGACACACGTGGCGGTCAATCCTGACATACGGAGTAGGCGTGGTTATAATTATGGGTTTTGGCTGGTTAACATTAAACAGAGTCTAATTTGCTTCTAACATATCATGTTGTTCTTCTTCGGGTTGGATATGTTGGCCATCCGACATCAGAGAACTTCGACACCAAGGGAAGAAAGATCACTCCTGGAGCTATTTGGCCAGGAGTGAAAGGATACTCGACACATCTCAACTGCGAGGGGACGCAGGCAACCTTACTGGTTGAAGTACATGATCGCGAGACGGCTCAAGTGTTCAGAAGGCTCGCGACACAAGTATCCCATATTTGGCACAAGGCGGTCAAGGCTGATCGCGGTGACACTTAGAGAGCTCCGACCAAGAACACGCGATCGGGTGAGGAATTTCCACCCGATCGACACCAACCTCTAAAACGATCAAGTTCAGCATCGAGTCAAGTCAACCTAGAAGAGTGCGACCCGCTCTACCGATAAGTACACAAGGTGAGAAGGAAACAAGTGCAAGCGGAATTGAAGTACCTCCTTCGCTAGTCGATTGTCTGGGCGCCAGTGGAGAGTCGGGATCGCCTCATAAAGTGAGCGAACCCCACGCCACCATAATGGTGCGCAAGCCCAGATCTCCTGGTCACTCGGGATTTCACCATGAGTCCCATGATGATGATGCTAAGATCAAGTCTGAACCTGGACTTGAAGCTCTAACAGAAGATAAATCTCCGCAGACGCGCAAAGAGAAGATTCTTTGGATCATCATAATTTTGGGAGGGGCTAAGATGACAAGAAAGTTAGAGAGGAAGATTACCAAGATGAGCTGGGAGATGAACCTCGACCCCCTCCTATTGTCCCCTCGGGGACCACCGCGGATCGTGCTGCAAGCCACGATCCGCTGGATGAAAAACCTTCAGATGAAATTGAAAGATTGTCATCTAAAAACTACCGCTCAATCAAAGGCGAAGAAATACAATATCAAGTTTTTCCGGTTAAAGTCAAAGACGAAGGAGACACATCCTAACCATCAAGCGATCAAGGCGGAAGCTGATGCCGAATCTAAAGACTGGCAGTTGGAATGATTATTTGATTAGCAACAACTGAAGAAGCTACGCTCAGAAGACCCAGTCCTAAAGGTGTTGAAGCCTAAGCTAATCGGGTCGATCCATGATCCGGTATCGCCACCTAAAGCGATCTCAAATCAGCTGGAGGCTTGCATCGTTTTTATTAAATGCTAAGAGACGTCGGATTATCGACGAATGCTTTTGATGCACAAACACTTTTAGAGTGCAACCACGATCGGTTAATCAAGGCAGGACGGCTATTATTCGAGAATTTAATGCCACTGACAGAGTATCACGACCCGACGGATCAATAGATCAGGGAAGAAGAGGATACCGACAGAAAGATTAGGCGAAACGACCGCACCCTGAAAGAGAAACAGCTGGGCCAAGTGATCAAGTTTATCGGCCGCAACGTGAAGGAAGAATGTAATGGGTCCTCGCGCTGTGCCTTGGCAGAATCGGATCTGGACTCAAACGAATCGATTAGAATGCAACGGAGGTCTCTGGGACCGACGGGAGCAGCCTTGCTGAGAGTAGGATCGACTAGGCTAAAAGCGAAATGCGATCGACTCTAATACCGACCTTACAGAAGGCAAATACGCGGAGCTAAGCCAGTTGCAAACACACTTCAAGGCTGCCATCGACGAGTTCATTCGCGATAGCGAGGAACAAGGAGCAAGCCACCTGTTCGTCCAAGGAAGGTCTACGAATTCGTAAGAGCGATTCATTCAAGATGTCGAAATGGAATCAGTTGAATCATATCGTGATCGACCGATCGAGCAAGACAGTAAGGGTTTTGACGATCTAAGGCGACCGCACGTGGCAACCGCAGGAACTGGACCTACGGGACGTTTCAACGTGCAGAGAATAAAGTTGTCGGCAGTGCCTGACCTGACAGAATTTTCAGGACGGTACCAAGACGAGTAACGTGCTAGAAGCTGGTTTAACAAGATGAAGACTGCCTTCCTACGCGATCAGGCTCCAGATTACGAGAAATGTTTGGTTTTTGGAGATCAGCTGACAGGACCTGCCCGTAATTGATACAACCATCTAAGCCGATCGATTAGCAATGAGTGGAAACCTTTGTCCGAAAGCTTTATGGCTTAATATGGGGGATGCGGAATGTCAGCAGGAATACAGTATTACCACGCGCAAAACCGGCCAAGAGAGACCCCGTTGGAATACGTTCACCGGCTGAATGCGGCAGGAATGCGAGCGAAGATAGCGTTCAGAGATGGATTGCCTGCAAGCCGACGTGAACATGTGGAACATTTCATTGATACTTTAGACGATCGAAATTTGGCGAAATAACTGACTCTACTGCGATTGCATAACGCTAATACGAGGGAAAAGACTCTACATGCGTATCAACGTATGAGTTTTCGACACAGCATAGAGCCGATTGAACCGAACAAGTATCAATCTCGATCGGCTAAAGCGTCGGCCCTGATACATTCTAAAATGGCGCGAGTAGTTAAAGCCATTCGTATGGAAGGTGATAAAAGTAAATCAGGCTCAAGCTCGGACGGATAGGATGAAAAAGGGTTTCAACGCAAAGTTTTTGTGACGACTACTTCTGATCAATCTGCAGACCCGGGAG